ACGCTTTGCGCCATAGATGTCCTTATCTAACAAATCTAATAGCAGAGATGTGAGCTTTGACAAACATGGCATGACTCATAACCGCCTGACAGCTTACTTTGTCTCGTTGAACTCCGGCGGTAAACGTCTCGGCACATAGGAGTGACTGCACAAGCAAAGAATGTCAGGATTAGGAGTGTTTTGAGCCGTCCGAGCGGAAAAGTTGAAAATAGTCAGCGGAGAGTAGCAGGATTTCACAAGAGCTACCTAAAAACTCTTTTTTTACACCAACATAGAGATTTTTGATTTCGTTATTTTGAGAGAGTTAGAAATTTACTAAGATATAAGCACTAGGATTATCAGATCTCATAGTCTAATCGAAGTATACCTTCGAAGTGATACAACTAAAAATTCTCTATTTCCCTTTTTAAAGGGAACTTCAGGGCCTAAGATATAACGAGTTGCCAGCAATTTTTAGTGTTTGGTTATTTTAAAATAACACAAATGAGGACAATCAGTAGTAGTACCCTTCTCTTTCAAATGGAAGTCAGATGATTAATGTTCTACTAATTAGGAAAGACCACCTTGTCCTCCGTCTCGGCTACTTCTGCGATTTCTGTTAGACTGTCCACCCAATCCACAGCAGCAATCGCCCTTCGATGAGCGATTTCGGAGAGTTCCTCAGTGCGCGCCATTCGAAAGGGTTCGTACCGCATCTGAAGCATACAAGGGTGATGTGGGACTGAAACAATCTGTTTACTTTTAATAAGCAACGTAGCTTTTGAGGGGTGTCTCATTTTTTCAAACATTTGCATGTCAAGGCTCTTCAAAAGTTTTGGCCTACTGCCCAATGTGTTACTGTTTATTGGTTGCCTCTTTTTTAATGACTTTTTCATTTTCAGGCAACCTTAGAAGAACTGCTCTACCGCTTTCCTCTGTAAGCATAAGCTAGTCGAAAGTCTCTAAAAAAAGGGATACATTCAATTTACTTGTAACATATTCGTAAAACGCAACGTCAGCCAATAAACTTTATATTATAAATAGGGTACCAATGTTCTCTTACTGTACCTAGCACGAATGGCTTAAGCTTTTCATAGCTTTCAAGTAACTTTTTGGAGAAGTGAATTCTCCTTGACTCAAACGTCAGTTGTCGGGAGCCAGAGGAATACAAACAGAGCTACATTAACATACCGCTCGTGTTTTTCTGGTTTTTTGTCACATACCGCATAAA